TTGCTTTATCACATTTTATTTCAGCGCTTCAAAAAACATTCTTTGAATTCTTCATAACACAACTTTTATTGCTCAAATTAAAAATCTATTCGCGTTTACTTCGTGTTCTTTTATTTAATAAAAGATATTATAAAGAGGAAAGATTTGTTTGTTTGTTTCGAATAGGCTCCGAAACTACTGGACCGATTTGAAAAATTCTTTTTCCATTAGAAGCCGACATTGTCCCTGATAAACATAGGCTACTTTTTTTTATGTTTTTTTTTGGTTTCATGTGTGTTTTAATGTTTCCGAAGCGAAGCGAGGGCGGGTCGCTAGTATTTAATAAAAGAAAACGTATTCAAGGTATTTTGGTTTTACGTATTGGAAAACTTTAATGAATGATTTTGTCATTAGTTTAAATTGGGGAAATGAGCTTTTTTTTTCAGGACTCACTCAACCTGATAAAATCTACTCATATTAACATTCAATTTCAATTAATAAAAAAATGAGTACAATATTGAAATAGTCTTTCTAGGTGTGAACAAGACTTATATAACGATATGTATTACTCAGTTGTGTTATGTTGGTTAGAGACAAAAAAACTATATTATTGTAAAAATCTATATATTAATACGTGAAGCAAAAACTTTGTATCCCTTTTTACGAAAATTGCGCGGACGGAGAAGTGTGAAATTTTCCACACTTATAGAGAATATAGAGAAGAAGTGCACAATGCTAATATTTTTTTTAAATAATACATCAAAGTTTACAATTAAATCAATAAAGAAAACATTATACACACTACATACCATGTATTTGACGCACACACGCATGCATACTATTTATTGTCAAACTTTTGTTCTTGACGTCCGTTGTCAAATTGAGAATAGATTAAATATTGTTTGTCTTTGTTAATATTTTTATAGTGCAGTGTAGTCTTGGCGAAATTTGTGATTACAGAAGTATAAAATACTAGCGACCCGCCCTCGCTTCGCTTCGGAAACATTAAAACACACATGAAACCAAAAAAAAAAAAAAAAATGAAAAAGAGTATCCTATGTTCATTAGGGATAATGTCGGCTTCTAATGGAAAAAGAATTTTTCAAATCGGTCCAGTAGTTTCGGAGCCTATTCGAAACAAACAAACAAACAAATCTTTCCTCTTTATAATATTAGTATAGACAATCATAATAGTGTACAAACTTACAATTCCAATTAATTATAGTCGAATTTCGACTACTGCGGGGCCACTAGTAATAATAATAGGATACAACAACTAACATATTAAAAAAATATATTTGCAAATGAACAAAAAATTGAACAAAAAACTAAAGTAAACTAATGAAATCAAAGCGAAACACTTAACGTAATCAAATTTGAATTAAGTTATACCTATTCGTAAGTACAATTGAGTGCGGATCATGGATTTTTAAGTGAGGCATTGCAAATAAATATTATATCGATTTTATGACGTATACTATTTATTAGTCAGGGAAGTAATGCGATAAAGTACTAGCCATAATTAATTTTAATTTTCGGTAGATTGAAAGTTTTCTGAACCCATAAAAGGCTGCCCGAACGCGGTGTATTCAAATAAATACGTTCCTTTTATTTCCGGGGAATGTATTATGTTATATATTGTATATTAGAAATTCATATAGGAATATAGTGTTTATTATGATATTACCGTAACATTTATATTATCATAGATAGATATATTACGTATCTCAAGGAATTCATAATATATTCAGAATATCGACTATCGTGCTCTTCACACTGTGTCTTAAAGTTAGTGATAGCGTTCACATGGTGATGTCCATGGACTCTCGTAACTACACAAAAACATGTGAATAGTATGCTCATTACCCACTTATATCAAAACTCTTATATAAAAATATTGTACATTAAAATAATATATGACAAAAGTATATAATTAATGTTCAATTTAAATACCTACATTCATCTACCGCTTTTGTATCAAACTCCATTACTGAGTTCCTTTTGTGCCGAGAATCTAATGTCAGAAATTAAGTGGCTCAGATAACACTAATGGAATCTTTTCTCTTTTCTATTTTTTACGAAGCAGGAAAATTGAATTAATGAATGGTTTCTACAATAATTACATGTTATGTACCTACAAAGATCTCTGATTTCACTGTAAACCTAATTATAATTATCCATCCCAAAAATTTTGGCAGACAAAAAGAATTATGTTCAAAAATACGTAGCTTTTAATCTCTATATTTACTATGCGTAGTTTAATCTATGTAATGAAAAATAACATTATTGGGAAATTTAATGTAAGGCGATCCTTTTTAAATTATTAGGTCTATACTTTTACAGTACCGTCGAGAGTAAACGAACAAATGTCCCACAATGCTAAGGGGTCATTGTGTCTCGGTGTTGAAATTGGGTCTACCAGTGACACAATCTAAGCTTTTTTTGGGATGGGAGCCAAACCTTCTACAAAGACCCCGTGCCTAAGGAGCACGCGCGATATGTGAGACTGAACGGTTCACAGATGTTGGGAGCGGACCGGGGCCCACGGGACGGAATTTAGGGCTCTACTAACTAAAAGACTCCCGTGCACCGTCGCTCAAGCATTCGATCCCCCCCGAGGCCCGGACCCGGGTGGGATAAGAAGGTTACCGGGGCAACACTGCAACCAGACGCACAGCTCACCCCAAGAACACCCGGTCGACACCCGGTCGACGGAATCGAAAGCTCTGGACATTGGCCGTCTCGGTACAGCAGCCCGTTAGGCCGCCCAGACGATGCCGCTGGTGTGCCGGAATACCCCCTGGGCCAACCTATCAGGCTAGGATGCGATACATCGCCAATCGCTCTTACGATGATCCTATACGGTACTCCATGCCGGCGTGCTAGAGAGCTGGTAACGCGCCGCGTACCTCGACCCCCAGGTCGCCCCGTGATCTTCACCGGGGAGAGGCTATCGCCTGCAGGGGCAGGGACGTACACTAACACTCCGACTCGACGGCGACGGATCAGTACGGATAAGGAAGAGCTCTCCCTCTTTGGTTCCGCCGCCCTCTTCTGCGAGATGGTGGACTCGCAGAAGTCGAGCACTTTTGCGTGTCAGGGTACGGCACCGAACCGGCGTCCCTTAAAAGGCCATGTACCGCACCACGCATATGTAGAGGAGGCACACTACTGCAAAATTTAACAGCCTAATTGTGGGTTTAATAAAAGAACATGTTTTATGGGTTACATGCGGCTCATCAGATTTAAATAGGTTAGCCAATATAATAGTATGGGCCATCAGGTTTAAATAGGTTAGCCAATATAATAGTATGGGCATAAAAACACCGCAATACATTATAAAATAGAAGAATCATGTGGTTTTAAGTAGAACTGATGAACTTTACTTCGGTAACGTGATAAAACAGAGACGTAGGTTTCATTCTTTCTTCTGGTGAAATAGGCGATAAATGAGCAAAATCAAACTCAAAAAAGACTCGAATGTGGATGGCCTAACAGACTTAAACTATACAGCGTACTCGGGCGACCAATTGTTCACGAATTCACAAATGAACAGCTGTCAAACGTTTCACACCAGAACGCATGCCTGCTTTACAGCAGAAATTAGCGGGATGTATCAAACGGAGCGGGTCTTACAATATACCCAACCAATAATAACCACATTTATAAATTTTGAGGGTTGGATTTTTATTACCCAATATTATTCCAGTAGAAGTCTCACGAACGACTAAGAATGTTATGTCCAGATTATTGTATCTAATAGTTAAAAAAATGTAAAAGAGTTTAGGAAATAATGAAGAGAATTAATAAATACATGTTAATTTATTAGATTAAGAACTTGCTGATGTTTTCAATAGTGAAAACTAAGTACAAGGAGAGTCATGTTTTTTTTTTTTTTTTTTTTTTTTTATTGCTTAGATTGATGGACGAGCTCACAGCCCACCTGGAGTTAAGTGGTTACCGGAGCCCATAGACATCTAGAACGGAAATGCGCCACCCACCTCGAGATATAAGTTCTAAGATCTCAGTAAAATGATGGTGTTAGACAAACACATGAAGACCAATGTAAAACACACATCTAGTCCTCTAGTTACAAGATCTCGTCTGTTCATTTTGAAGAAAGAAAAAATAAACTCGGTATAGCTGAAGTGGACTGCCGATTCTGTCTGGGACACACTCAAACAAACTTGATCCTGCATCACTGCTGCGGGCCGAAACAATAAAATGGAGTGTCGTTTTCTGCCCTAAAGGCAACGACAACAGTATTACCCAAGACGAATAAACACACCTCGGTTTTACGCAGGTACATCTAAACATTTATCCGAGAAATTCAATATGAGAAAAGTCATTTTGAGCAGGAATGTGTAGTCAGAGTATTGAGGTAATTCATTACATTTGAGACTTCAATCCCACGCCTCAAAGTAGGCTCGGGCATTGGCGTGGTCTTGGTCTCTGGTGACTAATTAAAACTATGAGTTCATCAGCCACCTAAATAAAGAAAAATAGATTTTTCTTTTATTAGTTATTTATTCGTAAAATATCGCCCCCATAAGTTTCATATTGTGGGCTTTAAAAAAAAAACCCGAAACATTGCACGCATCAACTCGCATTTATTCAGTCGAGTGTGTCCTAGCAACCGCAAAGTCCCTTTAATATAGATTCATTTTTAATAGAATGGGTACATACTAAAAATACTTCGTGTAAAAAAATACGCTTTTCAACATCATGGACACAATGTCGGATCTAATTTTGCAAAAATGGATTTTATGCTTTTAAATTTTTAAAAATTTACATGCCAGAAATATTCATTTTTCTATATGTAGGAGATGGCCAATATAGCAACTACGGGCTTCTATTTTATAAAGAAGGGTCTTGTAGGAAACTGCTGCTACAGACGCAGTAACTTTAGGATGTCGGAGTCGCATATTTTCTGATGAATAGACGAGATAATATTAAATCATTGGGGTACTCTGAACTGAATAATCTCCTGACTTTGTTTTTGATCCTGTTAACTATTTCAGAATTGGACTTGGATTACCTTGAGCGAGGCGGTGGAGGAACACTGACGACGGGCGGAGCTCCAAGCGTAGAGCCAAGCCCAGAAAGCCTTGACCTCGTCAAAGTTGTGCTACTCGGTGCTCCAGCAGTCGGAAAGACAAGTATTATCCAGGTATATTAATTTTAATAGTATTCTTAATATCCCGGAAAAAATTGATCCCGGAATTTCCCAAAAAAAATCATGTTGTTAAGGATTTTGGTAGTGTACGGTTGAAAGTTCGAGAAATAGTGAGAGAAACACCAGTTCGTCTTTTATGCATAAGCAGTGATTAACAAGATCTGAATACATAATTTTACTGCTATTCCCATATTTAAAAATAGATTTAAAAGTCACAGTTCAGGTAATCTATTAACATAAATTTCGTATTTCAAGATCTACATAAACTTAAGTCATTGGTGGATGTTTTCACATGGACAAAAATAATACCATTATAAGTGCAGATTTCTTGAATTTTAAGATATAAATTCAAAAAAGTTGTGCAAATTTTGATTACTTACTAGTGATTTAGAATGAGCGTGACGAAGCGCACAAGGTGATTAGGGGATACCCCATTGAATATGTAATAGCATTAACTGAATATATATCAGAGTATTGCAATCGCAAACCAGTGTTTATGGATGGCTGTATTGTAAGCCCTTCAAAGTAGGTACCACCATTCAGTCTATTCCTGCCGAGAAGCAATAATGAATTCTGCTTTGAAATATCAGATATTCAAAACGTTACCAACCGATTCACACCGTTATACAATACAGTAAGACTTCTGCTTTATGCTTAAAATTGAGTTGCGGAATTCTGGTTTAGATATGGATTCCAATTACCTCCTATTAACGAATGGTCGCTGATCTCGTTCAACTTTCAAAGAAGGAAAAAACTTTAAACGTGTTAATCTTATTGAAAAAAATAAGGTTCTTATGTTTCCTGAATCATGCAGTAAGTTCACAAGTGTTCGTGGTTACACACTATTACTACAAACATTTACATTCAAATAAAATTATGAGAACATATTCATAAAGAAACGCTATTGTGTCTAATGTATAAAAAAAATATAACAGTAATAGCCAATAGCATTAACAGTGATCACTTATTATTGTCAGACTACCAACCGTCAGAACCCGTGAACGCATTTTGGCTGAACGATATTATCAGATTAACAAACCAAATTTTACTTACTAATCCAAACAAACACGAAAATGCTAATTCAATATGAGTCTTCTCAACTACACTGGAATGTTCACACTACCCAATTTACATAATTCAAGCCACTACAGTGTCAAAGTTCGTCTCATGAATGTTAGGCATGCAATTATTCCGCCACTTGATATAATTCGAGGGTTCCTACAAATTGGCCTTCTCATATTGTCTCGTATTTACAATGCTATGTTTGAGGATAGGATCATGAAAATGGAAATTCAAAGAAAATTTATTCAAAATTTATAGGTTAAATAATTCACAGGTCATGAGTTGATGTTCCAAAACCTTAGAATAGAATAGTGTACATGGATGATTTTCCCCAAAACGCCGTCTCTAGTCGACATAATATGTGTGTATGTACATAAGTACCTATATAATAGTTTGTGTTTGGGTAAAATGTTTCAGCGTATTTTTTAAGTAAGGGCATTATAACTAACGTTAGGCACGTAGGCCCATTACGAGTATCCTATGAACAAACTAATGAAATACGGTTTTAATTGGTGGGCTAGATTGATCGTCAGCATTCGATAATAAAAATTCCACAAAATATAACGGCAGTACAGATAAATATAGGTAACTATCCTCCGATACTAAATGCTACTGCCATCCCCGTCCGAGCGCAGCTGGAATAAATAGCTCCTTAACCAATTAGATGGGATATTAAAAAAAACTATGCTAAAAAGGGATCAACAATTCACGTTTTTTTTATTTATTGCTTAAATGGGTGAACGAGCTCACAGCCCGCCTGGTATTAAGTGGTTACTGGAGCCCATAGACATATATAACGTAAATGCGCCACCCACCTTGAGATATAAGTTCTAAGGTCTCAAGTATAGTTACAACGGCTGCCCCACCCTTCAAACCGAAACGCATTACTGCTTCACGGCAGAAATAGGCAGGGTGGTGGTACCTACCCGCGCGGACTCACAAGAGGTCCTACCACTAGTAAAACGTAAAAAATTTTGTTTTCTTCTCGTGCCATTACATCGCTCACTAAAAGGCGCAGGTGGCGTAGCTCGCGCTAAACGAATTGGGGCTGCCGGTTAAATACATTTTGTACTTTGTATATGCTTAGTTACATAAATGTATGAGGATGGATATTTTCAGATCTTTGTTTAGAATTTTGTGAAACGTTCAAGGCCGATGTTTAAATTGGATTCTAGACTCTTTTTTTTGTTTCCGACAGTGTGATGTCAAATTGATAAGGTCATTCATGTCACATTAATAAGAGACCTGTTAAGCTATCTAATTAAGCTATTTAAGCAAGCTTTGTATGAAATTACTCAAAACAAACAATTGTTGATTTGATAAAGATAACGTTTAAGATAAGATAAGCTTAAAAGCACTTTTAACACAACAAAAACAACACTGAGAATTTCAATCGCATGCGACTCTTAGAGTGATCAAATGTTCTTCTTCGAAACTAGAACTATTTAAACAAGACTAGACGTGCCCCGCGGTTATAACTACGCGGTTATACCTACTTTAAATTTGTAATTCTAAAAGAATAAAAAAAGGTTCCAATTTCACGTTCATAAGCCAGTCGATTTGTAGGTCCACAGATACATAACAAACAAACCAACAAACTCACTTTCACATTTATAATATTAGTCCGGATTAATGTTGAAGTATAGATCACATAGATAAATAGATTAGATAGACTTCGGTTCTAAGGAATGGGGTACCCGTATTACGTACAATATTACCGAGACTTTTACCTTATGTAGCAATGTGAGCGACCACCATTGCTTCGGCATTTCTGTTAGTCCAGTAATCAGACGTACTTTGAGAAGGGCCAGTAGCAAAGGAATGTTGGTAATTTTAAGCAAGATTCAGGTTTTTGTTGAATCCCTTATACTAGTAATATTAAAGATAAACAATACTAACCTATTTTCAAGTTGACTACAGACTTTAAGCAATAACAAAAGTTTGACAATACTTCATTGCAATAAACAAAGAGTATATGTGTGTATGTCAAATACCTACATGGTAGTGTGTGTAATGTTTTCTTTATTGATTTAATGTATCTTTTATGCATTATTTAAAAAAAATATTGTGCACTTCTTCTCTATATTCTCTATAAGTGTGGAAAATTTCATACACCTCAGTCCTAGCAATTTTCGTAAAAAGGGATAAAAAGTCTTTGCTTCACGTATTAATATATAGATACGCTACCTCACCAGTAAACGTTTAAGAGATTTAAACAACAAAAACACGTCAATCAGTTATTCAGATTCTATTGTAAATCAATTTTCATTACCTCGGCGCGGCGCGTTCGAGCGAATGCAAAATCTCTGACTACGACGGTAAATTCGTTAACACACAACAGCGAGTAGTCTTTGTGTCTGCCTAAAATATTCATGGAATATTTGATGAAGGTAACACACGTTCGTGTTTAGTACGTTTACAAATAAGATACAGAATTGAATCGTTGCCAAACAATGTTATGTAACCGCAATCGTAAATTACGTCGCAAGTTTGTGGGGCACCCTTATTTCGTGTTATCTCTTAATTAATGAAGGCACGTGGTCGTTAGAATAACGCTGTAATGTACTACTAAAAGAAAACATTTCGAAACGAGAACACGAACTTGAGAGAGAGAGAGAGAGAGAGAGAGAGAGAGAGTATTCTTTATTGTACACCAAAAAACAAATAAACAGTGCGATACATTTAACACAAAAAGTACAATTGGCGGTCTTATCGCTAAGAGCGATCTCTTCCAGACAACCATGAGGTGGACAAGAATCATTTGGAAACGAACTACGCGCGGTGTACCATTCCAGTGAAATACATATGCATATATGTACACATACATATACACATACATACATACATACATACATATATCCGTAAATATACATACAATTAATACATAATGTATTTTAATAATAATTATTAAAAAAAAAGGGAAAAAAAATTAAAATGTTAAAAATGATGCTTCTTTATACATAAACTAGCGACCCGCCCTCGCTTCGCTTCGGAAACATTAAAAGACCCATGAAACAAAAAAAAAAAAAAAAAAAAAAAAATTTAGCCTATGTTCATCAGGGACAATGTCGGCTTCTAATGGAAAAAGAATTTTTCAAATCGGTCCAATACTTTCGGAGCCTTTTCGAAACAAACAAACAAACAAATCTTTCCTCTTTATAATATTAGTATAGATAAGAATAAGCAATTTACATATAAAAGATACTTCAAATACCTTGAAACATATACACAGAACACATACACAAACATATACATTCGAAAGATAATTAAAACGATTTAGGGTTATACTGTTTTTATTTTTAGAGCTTTTTCAATATTTAAATCGTAAAAAACACTTTACACGCATGAACACAAACGACGAGGATAGTATTCCAATTAATTCTACCAATCCCTAAAATCTCAAAACAGAAGTTTCAAGCGACTTACTTTTTACACAGATTTCTGTCTGCCCAATTAATAGCAGATACGGCCGCTTCATAATGGCAAGTACCACTTCGTCCAACCGTAAACCTTATTTATCTTTTGTTCTTAATTCATATCATGGTTAAAGATAAGTCGTGTTTTGAACTCACATGAACTGATACTCCAACACCTATTTCTGTCTTTGCTTTTATGTTGTCCTGCTAATGGCTGCTACCAAATTAACATTGGCTGTTAGTAAAAATGATAGTTATATTATAGTACTAGGTGACCCGGCGAACTTTGTTCCGCCTTAGAGCCAATAAATGAGCAGACTTTTGATTTTATCAAGGTCAATTTTTTATTTGTCCCGGCATGGCTTTCTGAATGATTACCTATCTCGGCACAATAAGCTAATAGAAACTCGAAACAAATACATCAACCGGTCAACTTCAAAATTATCTTATAATTAATCATAGACTACATTACGTTTAGCTGTCAGTTTCGTTCTGTTATTCCATATTAGTTTCATTTTGTTATACCACGTTTCATGTCACGTCCCACGGGAACGTGTTAAAAAGTGTCCTATGTCCGTCTCCTGGCTCTAAGCTACCTCCCCACCAATTTCCAGTCAAATCAGTTTAGCCGTTCTTGAGTTATAAATAGTGTAACTAACACGACTTTCTTTTATATATAGATTGAAGATAATTTAGAAGCAAAAAAAACCATCGAAGCGTGTTAAAGCAAGCTGAACTAGAAAGTAAATTAATATTTTTTTATCCTCGTAGTCCTTGTCAAGATATTGGGCCAAAGTAATATTTTTTTTGTATTATCCTCGGTCCTTGATACGTGTGCAAATTTTCAAATTAATTAGTCGTTTTGAAAATCGTGAAAATTGCGTAGTAAAACTCCGTTAAATAGACCAAGGTGGGTCAATCTAATAAAAGATTGTTCTGAAAGTGAAAAGAAGAGTTCTGCTGGGGGCTGGGTGTACAATTACCTCCAAATGGTAAATGCTGCCATGCTACATATTTCTACCGCACAACAATCACATCTCCCAGACTGTAGGACGTACTACTAAGCTCGCTAACTAGCTAATAAGTCAACTATGTCAACTAAGCTTTTGTAATTACGTATATTTTAGCTGTACGTATTATGTTTTTGCATCTTGATCTGTAAACGAATTCTCGGACCATCTGGTTTCATGTGGCTATCGAAACCCAGAAAATATAGGTAGGGTTGTGATATCTTCACGTACAAGCTTATAATATCTCTTAATACCAATAAATATCTTTTGGCGCCCTTAGAGAATGCTGTTGTCTATTCTCCATGAGTCTCTGCCTCTGTTGCCTTTTACACTGCGAACAACAAATGTCGCGGTGCTATTAAATAAAATAACATTTTTCACAATGTATTTTTTTTTCGCAGCAATTTGTCTGGAGCGACTTCTCGGAAGAATACATACCTACCGATCGAAAGCACACCTTCTATCCATCGGTGATCATCAACGAGCACTTGTATGAAGTTAAGATAACCGATGTTCCTGTAATCCCGTACTTTCCGATCAACTCCTACTACGAATGGGCTCACTACAGATTTTACGGATTACGGAACGCCACAGCCTACATTCTCGTGTTCGATCTGTCTAATGTCGAAACATTTCAGTACATACGAACGCTACGAGATCAAATGGTCGAGAGTCGTGACATGCGAAATGTTCCAGTGCTCGTTGTCGGCAATAAACAGGATTTGCTTTGCAGCACTACACCGTCGGCGGCAAGCGGTTTGCAACAGCTGGCAATAGCGGAAAGCGCTTGCGGCGATTCAAGGGAGAAGCGACGTAACATTGTGAATTTAGTGAGGAAACATTGGAAGTGTGGTTACGTTGAGTGTTCGGCGAAATACAATTGGAGAGTGATAGCCGTGTTCAAGGAGTTAATGGAAATGATTGATGCACTAGAGTGGAGCGGCGGTGGTAGGAACGCGGAACCGCCTCCTGATTCATCCGCCAGTGGCGGGGCTGGTTCGCACGACACTAGATGTGTGGTTGCTTAGCATTCGTAAACTTTATTAACTGTTATATTCAGGAAAGGAGAGGAAGTTCGTGAAATTAAAATTAATAATTACAAATATGAGTTTTGTGAATTAGTGAGAGAATGGGCATTATGGCGTGAAATAAATTTGTACTTTAAGCTGTTGTTTGTAGAAGTGTGTTTTAAGTGCACATTTATTGTAAATATTAATGAAAGAATGTAATATAGGAATACCGATGTTAACAGAGCTCATAATTGTAAAAGTCGCAAGCAATAAGATTTTAACTGAAGTTTTCCAGAATACTTTAAGAAACATAATATTATTTTAAGATAATAATTTCTCGCTTATAAATTTTCATTAAAATTAGCATGGCGACATTTTTTTCTGCCAAACGAACATTAAAAATGTCATTGCTCAGATTAAAAGTCATCGTTTCTATTTGAGTAACTTACTCAATTTTATCCAAAAATTTCTTGCATTACACTATAGTATAAATTAAAAGTTTTCTCATTTTTAATTAAATGATTTTTCGGTTAGTAAATTTTACCACAAAAAAATAATTTCCTACGACTATAAAACTTGCCTTGTATGATATTTGCACTTAAGTCGTTAAACATATATAATTGGAGTAGTAATTGTCTATTAGTATGTTGTCCCATCTGCTTCAAGGGTCTTCAAGGATTTCTCAGGGTATTCTGAACCTATTAAAAAGAACAACATGCTATTTATTATTTTGCTGTGTTGATTATGGAAAGGGTGATGCTAATATTGAGATTTATAGCTGTTTCTCCAAACAACAATGCTTACCTATGACTTTATGTAAGCTAATAAAGAATACAAACTAACTTTATACCCTACCATGGTTAGAGATTTAAATATTATTACTTTTATATCAGTCAGTTAACACGATTTTATTTATATCACTATTTATATTAATATCACTATTTAATTAATTTCTAAATTAATCCATATATACCATTTTATTCCTATAGATATATTATTCTGCTAACTGTAAAGGCCATTGATGGATCATTATAAATAGACCATATAATGGTCTAGCACTGGAAATGGCATTAGTATCGTTATATTTGGACTATGTAGTATAACTTTTCTGCTCAAGTGACTCAAGTTCAATTTCGCATGTTCTGCAACCCTTTACTGTGACCGATCATTTCACTTTTCCTTTTAAATTTCAAAGCTCTGACTTTGCCTAGTTTAGACAAAGATAATCAATAATAAGCAAATAGGGTTGAACCATTTTAGTAAATATACATCACAAACTATCTGCTTAATATATTCACATCTCACAATAATATCTCCGCAGAAAATATTAACCTCAATAGCCGTATGTGTTAATTGTTTAATGTTATGATCCAATTGTTTTTATATTATTATCGATTAGGAATTTCAAATAAAAATATCTATAGATAGACCCTAGTACATAGCTATTACTCTGAGTTGTGCTTTAGAACGAGTGCTTCCTTAAGCGTTGTTTTTTGTAACATTTACAGATGTAAAAGGTCTTGTTAGATTTATTGCTGAGTAGTTTTTCTACTAGGTTTTTCTTCTTAAGCTCATGCCAAATCTCTATGCAGCATGATAAGAGAAGATGATGCGCCGATGCCACATCACTTGGGATAAGGGCAAGAAGAAGAAGAAGAAGTGTGTTTTTCGTGAGATGTACTGGTCGTAAACCGAAGCCTTATAGTTGTTTTGAAAAACTTGTGCAAAATGTTCAATATTTCCTTTAGATTAAAATTCATCGATAGGCCGAATATTAAATTTCGATCTTTGCTCCATTCAGACAAAAAGACAGTTAATATTAAAAACGCATGTTTCGATACTAGTAAGGTGAAAATAATTATTTAGAAAAAAGTACCTTCATAATATACATTCGTACGGTTTTGCTTATTGTAGATATTAGTATATATCTGTGCATTTACACTTCATTAATTCACAATTTCACAAATTCACAATTTCATCCACAAAATATCAAAGAGTAACTCAGTATAGACCCAAGATATAACTGTGTTTCTTTTTATTTATAGACGAATTGAATTATTCAGGACTTAGCCATCGATTCGCTATATCGATAATGATTTTTTTCGGAGTAATTCAGAATTTCGCTCAACGTATTCATTACTATTGCATTGTGAATATTAACTCAAAAAATTTTGGGAATCTAATAATTGTGGCCAAATGCACAGTTTGTTAATAAGAAACTATTTATGTTTTACCCTTTATTGAATTTGTTTTACAAATGTTGAACGGTGGAATAAAATGTTGTGACAATTTTTATGTTTTTGTTTTATTCTAATAGTAGCTTCAAGGTGGCTAATTTACGATTTTACTTAATGCTGTAGATCAGTGCTTCCCAACCTATTTTCGTTCTTGTATCCCATAAAAAACTTTTCATTTATGAGTTCCCTTCCTTGATAATTCCAAACGTGCTGAGAATGTGTCTCGTTTCACTAAAGACCTATCGATCGGTCGGTTTCTATTAAGCTTATTAGTTACAAGGTTCATTTTAAACTACATATTGTAGATATAATAATATTTATATGAGCTAAACGTTTTCACTTCTCAGTATTTCTGTCACTTTCAATTTAAATTTACGTACCCCAATAGGTCTCCGCTTACCACAGGTTGGGAATCGCCGCTATAAATGAATGAGGGTTAGAGAATAATGATTTCCGGTCAAAAGGTACGAGACTGCAACCCCAATCTCCTCATTTCCTCGTCGCACTAGATGAATAGATGCCCTCATATACCGCAACATTGTATAAGGGTGATTTCCTTTCAAACCAGAACGCACGACTGCTTTGTGGCAAAAATAGCAGGACGGTGGTGCTAATGCTATTTAACATTATAGCTATTATTCTAAATGAATCGAAGGGCACAAATGGGGGAAATTACCTAATGGCGGATCCATGTCACGATAATGTCCCCCTGGGCTGATGTCAATTCTGTGCATTTATGTCATTTGCAAAAAACGTTAACGTTAATAAATCGTGTTTTGGCTGGCCACTTTAGATACTACAGCGTGAACATCGTGATACGACATGGAACGTTTAAATGAAGTCCCAACGTCATAATACAAAACTTTAACAAAAAGGCAAACCGACTTTAACAAAATAAATGTGTAAAAAAGTAGTTTAATTGTGTCTATGACTTGCAAAAAATTAAGAAAATACCATATTATGCATTAATTAGTCGGAAGAATTCTTGGTCTCATGACATGTTTTTATCACATATCGTGCCCCGTCCCGTAAATGTCGAACCTAACATCATATAAATTGTTAAATTTATGAGTTACGCTAATGTCTCAGTGCTAAGATGAATATTTGGAGTCCCAAGGCCTCTTGATATAGCCAATGCTATTCTCATCGAAGGCAATACCTACTGTTTCATTGGTAATCAGTGAAATCACGATTTCTTTAAATTTTATTCGATCGCTACCAAAATTACTGGATCACCTATTACGACAATCTAATAACTTTTTAAACATTTCATCGAAATCGGTCAGACAGTTTCTGAGGATAACATCTAACTAAGCAGAGACTTGATATGTGTAGGTTAAAAGTCCTCCAATTATATACCCACTATCATGTAAAAGCTATGTAATACAAAAAACGACAATTACAAAGAAGTTCAAAGCATTTCAAGAGAAACTGAAACAAAGGAAAATCGGTCACCGTAGACTTAAACACAACAAAGCAGGAATTTTCAAACAAAGCTCTACGAAACAAAGCTTCGGGAATTAGATAGGAAAGGAAAGGGAACTACGAGTATAAGCTGCTCGCTCAGTATTGCACGTTATACATTTTATTTCATTGCACTAGATGAATGATCTCTCGGCCCGCCAAGTTATTAAGAGGTTGCCGAGGATTGTAGACATCATAACGTACCTAAATGCCAACCTACAATAAGAAATGAGGTCTAAATCTCAATTTTATTGTAACATACTACAATACTAGAACGCTTGACTGCTTTTTTACTGCTTAGATGAGTTGACGATTTCAGGACTCACCTTTTTTTTTTTCGGGCCGGGGCCCGAACCTCCTACAGGGTCACTGCGCCTAGGGGGCGCGCGGGGTATGTGGGACTTGACGATCTGCAAGGTGTTAGGAGCAGACCGCGGGTCTAAGGAATTTTAGGGCCCACCCACTAAACGACTCCCCTGCACTCTTCGCCCAAGCGTCCGATCCCCTCCGAGGTCAGAACCCGGATGAGGTAGGGGGTTACCGCGGTCAACACTGCAACCAGACAGCGCAGTTTCAGGAGTCACCTGGTGTTAAGTGATTACTCATCTTGAGACATGAGTTCTAAATCTCAGTTTTATAATACAACCTTGATAGTCAACCAAAGTGGGCTGTTTTATTGCTCATCGCCACCAAAAATTCCGCAATGCATAATCAGTAATTATCATCAACGGCAAATACTAATTATCTTCGCACAGAAAAATAACAGTGATAAAAAAGTGCCTACAAGGAAGAAATAATAATAACGTCATAATGTATTACGTAGCGGGAGACACGAGAACATGGAAACACCCTCGCGGTGGTGCGGGAACTCGTTAAGGGCGTATTAAACATGTCTGCGGTAAAGAAAATCTATTGTTATTTCGGGGCAAGTTCCAGCAATCTTCGTTATTAAGATAACGCACGTATGCCGATCTTTTTTATTAAATATTGGAATGGTATAAGTAGTTTAGTATTACTTAATCTTGTTTACTTAGTATTAGAACTCGCATTAGACGATGTACATGTGTATATACAGATCCTACAAACAGCATTTGGTTTCCTGTGTGATTGTTTGCGTGACTCATATGCGGACAGCGATTCCATTACATATGAAGCTTTTACTGGAAATAGCATCTAAATACAATTACGCCAACGAATAATCCAATCATCAAAATCTTTTGAACCTTTTTTTTTTCATAATTGAGTTCAATTCTCTTACCGCGAGTTCTCCTTAATGTCTGGATCGAATAAAACCGGGTGCCAATTTAGGACAAAGAATGAAGTCGGCTGGAACCATATCTGGTGCATAAGGATGTTGTTTGATGGTATTTGATAAGTTTTTGGTCAAAAATTCCTTCACAACGACGGCCTTGTGCGAAAGCACATTATCGTGGTGCAAAATCCATTCATTATCCTTTTTTTT